GGGCAAGCTTTTGCCGGGTACGCGGAGATCCAGGTCACCGAAGCCGTCAATGATGGAGACAGGGAGCCATCGGAGTTGGGAGGTGCCGGCAGCAGCAGCCAGCAATGCCTCGATGCGGAGCTTTCTGCCGGTGGAACGTTCCTCTCCGAAGAAGCAAGCGAAGGCAAAGACAGCGGTGGGAGGAGTCGCAGCCGGCACGGGGAGTCGACCCGAGCAGTATCGCCTGGACCAAGGCGAGGAAGAAGCCCACATCTCGATCCAGGAGCTCACAACTCAGGAGATGGCACGCATCGCCAAGTCAAGGGCCAAGGCGCAGAATGCGTGTGCGAAAAGGGAGGAGGGCGCTCACGGGGATTCGAGCGGACTACCCCACCCTCTCACACAGCTACAGCGAGGAGCTGGCCTTCAACATGATTTGGTGTGTCCGCAGCAAGATGATGAGCTTCCTATGGAAGAAGCTCCTACGGCAGCTCCGGGTGAAGGACGCGGTGGAGAGGACCATGCCTGGAGCCAGGTGGAAGCGAAATCATCGATGGTTGGCGATGCTCCTGGGGAAGGAGGTGGCGTTTTGGTGGGGCCACTTCGGCAGCCTGCGTCAGAGGATGCGCGCTCCGGCGGCGCTTCCTCTGATGTGAAGGTGATCACGGAGCTCGAGCACAATGGGGAGGCCGGACAAGGGCAAGGAGGGAGCGGTTTCCACTACATCGACCTCGATGAGGACGGGGGAGGCACTCGCCGGGCGGGAACTGCGGAGGACTATAACCTTGCCTCGGAGGACACCAAGTATGAGGCCTACTTCATTGAAGAGCTCTTTGCGGATGAGGAGGAGCTAACGAGCATGTATGAGGAGAGCCGGGCTGTCTTCTACCAAGAACGGAGGGCTGCTGGAAGGTGGACTGCCAATCGACCGGCCAGGGGATTGACTCAACAGTTGAAGCAGGGCGTCCAAAGAGGCCGGAAGCTGATGGACACCCTCAAACAGGGCGCGAGGGTCAGGTGGCCATGGAGACGCCAGGTTGGGGAGCTTATCAGCCGATTGACGTCCTGCTGGGAGAGGATGGCGACATGTCGAAGAAGGCCAACGGGGAACGGGTCAAGAACACCGTCAGGACGCTAAAGCCAGACCTCACGGTGATCACTCCACCATGTGGACCCTGGTGTGCATGGCAACGGCTATGTCAGGATTGGGACAACCTGGACGAGATTCGACGGCGCCATCTACCATTTTGGAAGCTGGCCCGAGAGATCTGGGACATTCAACAGCAGGAAGGCAGACTTTGCCTGACGGAGCAGTTTTGGGTTCGGAAGCTCTGGAGACAAAGTATATGGTGGAGCGGAACCCTATGTACCGGGTGGAAGTTGATCAGTGCATGTTTGGGCTGAAGGAGCCCGTCTCCCTGCTGAAGTACCGCAAGGCCACCGCTCTGGATGTGACAGACCAGGCTTTCGCCGTGGGCTTGGCGGGGGTATGAGGCGCAATCACTCACCGAGGGAACACGAACAGATTCGAGGTTCCGTCATCGTTGAGGGAGTTAGCCACCGGCGATCAGAGCTAGCAGCCCGCTGGACCAAGGAGTTTTCAAAGTACATCTTGCAGGCCGCCCAGAAGTGTTTGGTTGGCCGACCAGATAATTGGGCTCCTCCATGGCTCGGAGATCGCACTTCCCCTGAAGGCGAACAGCACGACACTTGGCCGGTTGAGCTCGAAGAGGGCGTCCTCACTGCGGAAGAGGTGCTGAAGCGGCAGCTAAGGCAAATGGGGGCAGAAGGCGAGCGTTACGACTATGTGCAGTTTGAAGGAGAAGCTCGCATGTTGCCTCGCCGGACTCGGGCCACATTGGCACATCTACACGTGGCCTTGGGACACCTCTCCAATGACCGACTTCATCGTATGGTGAGTCTGGCAGGGGGAAGCGCGGACTTGTTGGCGGGGATTCAGAGCATCAGATGTCAGGTGTGCCAGATGGTCCGCCCGCCGGGGAGCAAGCCACAAGCCTCCTACACCAAGCCCACAAACTTCAACGCCAAGGTGAGCGGTGATGTTTTCTACATCTGGGACATCAAGAACGTGAAGTACGCCGTGGTGCACTACATCGACGAGCTCACCGACTACCACGTGGGGGCACTGGAGTTCGACCCAACATCAGACTGGGCGGCCGAGACCCTATGCCGGATGTGGTATGATGTCTTCGGTCCGCCCGATGTGTTGTTGACCGATGGTGGCAGCGAGTTCTATGGGTCGGTGGCGCGGCTCAATGACCTCTTTGCTGCGCAGCACATTGTGCCTGACCAGGCCAAATGGCGGCTAGGCCACGTGGAAAGGCACGGTGCGATTGTGAAAGTCATGATGCTCAAGGTGGTCCAAGAACTGCAGATCTCCACCTTGCAGGACATGCAATGTGCCCTGGCATCCTGCATGGCTTCGAAGAACCGCATTGCCACAAAGGGAGGGGTCTCGCCGTTGCAGGCCGTCACGGGACGGAACACTTCGCTTCCAGGGTCTTTATTGGCCCAAGTGACCAGCGGCAAGGTGAAGTTCAAGACCAACGAGATGATCACCCAGGACGAGGCACTGCGGAGAAGTGAGCGGATCAGGGCCGCGGCTCAGGAGTCTTGCCATTGGTTGGACGCTCATGAAGGTCTTCGCCGAGCATTAGCCGCCAGGTCCAAGCCGCCAATGATGGAGTTGATCCGGGAGGGAGCTAGTGTCTATGTTTACGATCCACCTTTGAATAGAAGGGGTTTGGCGCGCCGCCTACAGGACAATGTGTCCTGGAGTGGGCCAGCCGTTCCCAAGAAGGTCTGGGTGCGACTTCGCTCTCGGGTTAAGGCCTATCCCCTGGAGAAGATTCGGCTGGCTACGGCAGATGAGCTACTCAGCGCGGACTACATCCTCGCCGCCCTGAAGGACATGGAGGGGGAACTACAAGGGGGACACCTTCAAGTACAAGACTATCAGCCGGAGAAGGAGAGTGAGAAGGACGACGAGGCAGAGAAGGCGAGCGAACCAATCTCGGCGGAGGTGGAGAGGGCATGGCGCCCGTGGCAGTGCTGGAGGCACAGAGCATGAAGATCCAGAGGGTGGTTCGCTGCTCTATGAGTGCGGAATTGTCAATGGCAGCCGAGGCCTTCGAGCACGGGGACTTCGTGAGGGCGGTCCTCGCAGAGACCTTGTTCGCGGATTTCGACATCCGTCGATGGAAGTGGTATGCCAGCCGATGGTCACACTACCTCGTCATCGATGCGAAGACGGGGTACGACGTCCTCAGCTCGGAGGTGATGACCAGCGATAGGAAGATCATGGTGGACGCAGCGGTGCTGAGAGAGGCGCTGATGGAGGAAGGAGGGGGCAACCATGTCCGATGGATCCCTGGCAGAGAGATGGTCAGTGACGGCCTCACGAAGTGGGCGGACAATGGCGTGCTGCTGCAGGTCCTGAGAGAAGGCCGTTGGTCGCTAGTGGACACCGAAGAGGCCCAGCGACTTAGGAAAGAGGCGGCCGAGCGCAAGAAGCGCTACACCCAGGGCCGGGCCGGCAAGCATCCGACATCGAGTCCATAGGGGGTTTGTGTCGAAAGGGGCACATCGATGTCGGAGCCGGCCGAAGGGTTCGAACATACAGCCACGGGGCTCGAGCGCATGATAAAGGCATGCGGGGCCACATTTGAGTGTAACAGTCGCAAAATGCTTTCCCTACTAAACTTCCTAAGAGAAAGAGCACCAGAAATCTCAAACTGAAATCAGGCCACTTCAACAAGGTGCCATCTTCAATTATGATTTGAAGTTTGAAGGTTCAGAACCCTGTCATCTCATCTCATTCGTCTCATCTCATTCACTCCCGCAGGCCCTCTCATCTCATTCACTCCCAGTCTTTCACCAACCTGATGTTGAGTTACATTGCACTGCCACCATGAATGTTGCTGCTATGAAGACTTTAATGCAGTGTGTAGCCTTGCCAGATCACCCGCGGCCAGATCGAACTATCGGCCACCGCCGGCCACTGGCCCGGCCAGCCGGCCATCCACCAAAAAAATCCCAAGGAAGGATGGGAGAAGTGATAAGCGCGCGCGACTTGTGGCACGTGGGCGCAGCAAGTGAGGTGATGAGTAGATCGAGCCAAACGCAGGAGAGAGAAAGGTATGCCAAAGGAGTCAGGTGTATTGCATTGGCGAAGCGGCTTTCAACAGAGCCCGGCCTGGTTGTGTTTGGGTGGAGGGAAATATGGGCTCTCCCGGATGGGGACACGGTACGAGGTTTTTTGTTTTAAACAGCGCGCAGAAAGGAAGAGACTCAGAGCAGCAGTGCCTTTTGGGGGGACGGTGACGGTGAACCAATATTTTTGGGGAGCGTGGTTTGAAAGAGATTCTTGTTTGAACACGTGGAGCACACAAAAAAAACAGAAAGAAGGTCCTCCCGGAGGGACAATGCCGGGTTGTCAGGACAGTACATCGGTTTTCGTTAGTCATCGCCGACGCAAGCTACGGGTGTGAATTTAGTGCCCCCTTCGAAGCCGCCGAGGGCCCAGAATGCAAACGCAATTGTTTACATGGAAGCGCCTTGCGAAAATTGCAGCAGACCATCGCAGCACGTAACATTTTACGGGTATTTGCAACAGCCACAGCCACTTGGCATGTTTTGCCCCAAGCCCACCGCTCAATGCCTGACGTTGCTTTCTGCACCGGTAAGCAGCTGTTCATGTGCCCAGACCTGCCCTTGGCCACGCCTGGTTGCAAGACCCAAAGTAAAAAAACATGATTTAATTGTGGGCTGTCCTCTAAGTCTTCTAAGTTCCCTGCTTTCACCGAATCCAGTGCCTAATATTGTTTTCTGAAATTACGAGAAACAATTCTCAAGATAACCTTTTGGGTTTGCAGAGTTCACCTGCCTGCAGCATCAACCACTGTCACCACCTTGGCCCCCACCGAGAACCCGTCACTTCTTTGGCGCGCTTCTCCTCGGGTCGGCGGATCACTGTAGACATGGGTTGCTTTGTGTGTAAGGTCCCAGCCGTCCTTTGCTTTGTGCCATGGGCTTTGGATAGGGTCCAAAGTCAGGCATGCGGCATGCCCAAAATTTCCACAAGTGCGATCAAGTGACAAATTTGAATTGAGCCATCAAACGTAATTAAGAATGAAGTTTGACAGCAGCCAGTGATGCCTTTCAAACTGAAACACTGATTGTTATGTTTTTAATTTTTGTTTGACTGCATGTTTTGCATGTTTCAGCATATGTTTCCTGGCTCTGACCCGTTGAGTCGCTGAGGCTTACGTCCATTGGATCCTTTGCTTTTTGTTCCTTGAACAATCAAAGGTGAGCTTTCTTCGGAGTGCCACATGCAACGAGTTTTGTTGAGAAGTTGAGCAGTTTACAATGAGTTTGTTTCACTTGCTGCACCACGTGAAGTTGTGCAACAGACGCCAAGTCTCACTTTCGGTTACTTTCATGAGGAGATCCACCCAATCTAAGCTCACACGTTACGCCACCCAAGCAATGGCCTGAGAGTGTTCGAGAGATGAAGCCTACAAGTCTTTGCTAAGTGGTTGGAAGGCTTGAATGCCAAGCATAGCAATGAGATGACCTACAGTAATCCAAGCAGCCACGTTGACACTACAATACAAGAGAAGTCACTCTTTTGAAGGATGTTCAATGCGCCTCACAACTGCAAAGAAAGCAACAGTATATAATAGTTGGTGTGCAGCTCAGGGTTCTGGTGAAGTCGAGGAGGTGTGCATAGAGATGAAGGCGTTGTTCCTGCAATTGACCATCATACAGCAACTGTATGAAACTTCCAATGGAGTGTCGGATTTGCACAGGAAGCGCTGAACGGGAAGATTGGAGTTGCCATTCAGCGGCCTGCCTTTAATAACCTGGAAGGTTAGGGTTTTACAAAAGCTCGTTCTATACTGTCCTCGTTCGACTCTAACAATTATGGCAGGTCTGGAAGGAGGACTGTCAGCCGTTTAGCACATAAGGACGGCAGTCGATCATGCTGCAGTTAGTTGCCCAGCGATGTGATGCCTTTGAAGAAGTTATTTGGCGGAATGGTGTTGTAGGTATAGACTTTAGATCAATATCAACGGATTCAATCAAAGCATGATACAATGAAGGGCTCCCAAAAATCATGTCGAAAAGTGCAAGCATTGTTTTGACAGCCTGCGCATATGTCGCCCCATATTACACGTCCTGACTGAAGCAGGTTCAATGTGTGCACATGTTGAAACAGGAAAACTGAGCTGATATGAATTATGCTGCAACTCACACAATAGCAGCCTACTTTTCTTCTTTAAAAGATCTAGCAAGTACCTCTAAGCCCAAGCTTCGGAGGCCTTTGCCGGAGGTTATATACAGTAATAGGTCTTGGTAAACAAGCCAGATACCACTTTCTCACGGCTGAACAGACCTCAAACACACAACCCACTGTGGGTTTACCCATGCTTTCAATCAACATTGATTGGCACGTGGCGAGGACGCAGCTTTGATGGGCTGGCGGGTGGCTAGCTCAACTTCAGAACTCCAGCAAGTGTTCAAGGTCTTGAAGCTGCTCAGGTGGGCGACGTTATTGTTGAGGTGAATGGGAAGCCAGAGAGGGCCTTAAAGCTTTTCCTGACGGCATATAGGAGTTGGTGAATGTTTTGGATGTGTAGAAGACATTTGCTTCTTCATTTTCTTTGGCCAGAAATCGGTTAAAGTGACACGGACACGGACTTCAAAACCACTACAGCACGATACTTTTCCTCCTGGATATACAGCGGTTAGGAGCCTTAACGCGTGGCGAACTCACCACTCAGATTTGACACTGAGCTAGCTCAGGACAGATGTGGCTCCCCACAGCCAACTCACAGCTCAGTATTCAGCTAGCTCAAGTCTTGCTCCAACCTTTCTACTTGCCCTACAAGCAATATCAAGCAATTAGATTCCTCCTTTGAACACAAGCTTTCTACAGGTAACCCGTGATGTTTAATTCGTATTTAGTAGGTCATCCTTAGTTATCAAATGTTACAAAGTTCATTTATATATTGAAAAATAATCATCCCGATCAAGTTCATGATAGTCAGGATCCATACGTATAAAGCAATAAAAGCAGAATGAAAGCAAAATGAAAGCAAGCAGATGAAATGAATTCCAGAGGTGACTATTGTTGCGGCTACCCCAATCATAAAATATTGCGACGTACGCCCCCCTTATTGTTACGAATCTAACATTATTATGTCTGTTTGTTTGACACCTTAAGCAGCATGGGACGTTGCAATGGTTCATTCATTGGTCACATGTATGTCTAGGCGGCAAAGAGTGACAGTCAGATGGCTATATGATCTTAGACCGGGCACAGATTGAGGTCAAGGACAACGAGGCTGTGAAGGCAAGCGCTGAGTTTGCGACCGGTCATATTGGTTCTAGTAGGTTTAGGTGACAAGACAGACAGAAGCTGCGCTGCGGCTTGTTTTCACTATGACTATGATTGAGCCTGCAACAAAGGCTGCAGTTACAGAAGCACTACAGCGGCATTCGGCTGGCGAAGCCATGCGTTTTGTTGTTCGGCGCTTGGTTGCGGCTGCTGAAGCTTTCTTGCACAGCAGGACACAAGAAGAATACACTTGCAGACGACGTTGCGCAAGCCTGCAGCGGACCCTTTTAGCATACCCCTTCCCATACCCAACTATGAAATGAGGAGGTCCACCCCCCTATAAATCGGTTTCACATATGTATAATATATATATATATAATGGGGGTCCACCCCTCAAATTATAGTGAGTATTGATTTTATACTTTCACCTGATGCCCTGAGATTTTGTAGACAATTCCATGCTACCGGGCAACAAAAAGAATGCGAAGGCAAGATATATGTCGCTTGTACGTTTGAACGCAGGGTTTCGTAGAGACTTGAAACTCTGCGTATAAGTTCCCCAGTGGGGTCAAGCATGCGACTTTATAGACGTGGTTTGCCACTCGCCGGCCTGTCTGAGGCTTTTTTAGAAAGCATACCTTTGTTTGAGCACTGAGTTGTGGTGAATACAACAGAAATCAAAGGAGATTGAATTTCAATAGATTTCACAAGAGACGGTCACATGTTGTTATATTGTTTCATGACATAGACAAGTTCAAAAACAAGAGGAAGCTCATTGGGGGAGCGAGGGGGATCGCAGCCATGTTGAAACCACCAGAAACTTGTCCTGAAACGGAAACGGCTTCCGTTTATGCACGCGATTCGTCCCGATTTCCTCTCTATAAAATCACTCGCCTAAACCGCCACGGGCATGCGCGCTTTCCGACAGGTATCGCACGTCCCACCTCACCAAATTATATAGATTCAGGGGGTCCACGCTCTCAAAACATATCCGCCAGTACCTCCAACCCCGCCGCTTTATATCCATGAAATCCCAACCAGGACCCCCTGGCGGAATGCGCACGGGGTCTTTAGTAAAGTATCCAAAGCGTTTTCTAAGGAACGCGTCGACAACAAAGCTTTGAAAACATTGGACGGTTTGTCGGTTTGCCGCGGATCAGTTTTATCAAGGTATGTGCGACATGACGGACAAAGATGGCGGAAAACTGAGGTATTCACCACTCGCTCTTGCATACCAGACTCAAGAATAGACTAGAGCTATAATGAGCTATATAATATTTGCAGGCAGCAGCAGGTTTTCACCAAGCCCCCACAGTTTGCTCCGTGATACGTGCATCACAATCGTCAACCATTCCACGGTTTGCGGCAGATAGCTTCGCGGCTTCGCGCCTCGATGGCCAAATTCACGGCCGAAGGCATCCATACATTCTTGTACCATGCGGCAACGACGCCGTTGACATTGATCCCAACAAAATGGGCCACAAACTAGTTTCACTCACACTTGGCTTCGGCCCACGCTCCAGCCCAAGCTTCCAGACAGAAGTTCATGAAACAGCTTCGGCCTTCAACACATTGACTCTTTGCCAAAAAACCTAGCCGATAGATAGAAGCACTTGCCAAGTGCAAGGCTGCTAAAACCCAAAACGCAAAAGTCATTTCTGCGCGGAAACGTATCAAAGCTCTATAGTCTGGCTTAGGCAGTTGCCATTATACGAAAACCCTGACACCCGCCCACGACCAAGTGGTGTATTCTCTTGCCAACGGATATTTTGCGCCACATTGTCCGTTTCAGATCATCGAGTTTGAAAGCTGCACTTGAGCCACTCAAGCGGGCTCAAACGGTCTCAGGTGCGGCGCTTGAAGGCACCTGTTGACAGGCTAGTGATGGGGCTCACACTGGTCATGTTTTGTAAGTGGTGCAGCAGCCATCCGACCACCAAAACTTACAAAACAACAGCGTGTTCTTTTGTAGATAATTATAGCGCATCGCTTTCATGTTGCTCGAGTACAAGGGCCGTGGCCAGATCCTCTTCAAAACTACATGGAAAACAGGGGTTTGGACCATTTGCCTGGGTGAAGCAGGTCCTGCGGCATGATGCGGATGACTCCAGGCACCGGTGGTGAACTCACGGCCATGAGCCTACTGAGCTCATGACTGTTCATGTTGATTTCTTAAGTTCATGTTCGCGTCATGCGCATTTTCGTGTTTGGGTCGCCAAGATGTCCATGCTTGACCTGACCCAGAGTTTGCTTGGCAGCGTTCAGGCGCGCAAGATGTCAGCCAGTTTGCAAGTACCTCCACCCATAAACAGCAGGGGGTGCTCGTTGTTTCCGTCCTCCAATTTCTTGTGGTCGGGCGGGTCAAACATTCATCGATGGTTGATTCCCGACATGTTTGTGCAGGATTCTTCACGAAAGGTAGCCGGGGATACCTTGAGTTTGTCTTGCGAAGCAAGTGTCGGCGCGTCCAGGTCTAATAATTGATAGTTCAATTCAACCCCCCCCCCCCCCCCCCCTCCTACTGACTTCTCCATACAGACCCCCCCCCCCCCCCCCGGGGAACTGATTTTTCAATCCCGACCCCCCCCCTCTAAATTCAATTCTCTCCTGGAGAACGTCTTCGTGAGCCTCTCATGATTTCAGGATAGTTGAAACCCTCTTGAACATTCAGAGTGCATATGAAATTCTAATCACGAAAGGTGTTCCCCGAGGGGATAAATACCTAGAGTTTGTTTTGTGAAGCAAATGTGGGTGCTTCCGGGTCGGAGTGATTTCTCCCTAGAGCTTTGGAAGTCATTGTTCCATCTAGCCTCCCCTGCATTGTCGTTTGGGGATGCAAGCTGGCATCGCTGCCTCAGAGTTTTTGTCCCTGCCTCTCGCGTTCTCTTCTCTTCCCGCTGTCCTACCTTTCGTGTCTCCCTCCTCTCAAGTACTTTTGGGGTGTGCATCCTGTCCGCCTCCTCATCCTTATCCTTCCTTCTTCCTCACAACTCCTCCTCACCAACTCTACTCACGCCAAGTCATTCACCTCAATCCACACCAACAGACTTGCACTCATCACTTTCACCAAACCGGTGGGGATGGGAGGTTCTGCAAGGTGCGTTTTCCTGCGAATTGCGGGGGTGATGCGCCGGTGGGCATCTCGCCTTTTGCCCTTTCGTTTCTGTTGACGCATTTCCCGGGTTTAACAACGTGTTGTGTTTGTAACAATCTAAAGAGCTTCAAGGGGATGATGGGTGGGAATTTGCCTGTCATTTTGGCTCAAGGCCTTGACAGCGATCCCTTGCTTTATGGCCTCTTGCCCAAGCGGGGATTGTCTGGCTGTGAGCGGGCAACGGCCTTTGGTTCTTTCGGCTTTGCCGAGGACCGGAATCTGGGGTCTGCTCGGCCTCTCCCTGCTGCTCGCCTTCGTCGTGGGTGCCATCTTTGGGTGGCACCTGCGGTTGGTGTGGCTGTAGGCGAGGGATCAGCTGTCGAGGCTGCTCAAGCGGCGGGCATCGGCCTGGAAAGGGCTGGCCACTCGCGCCCTGTGCTTCATTCACAAGCGCAGGTTGGCGGGCATTGCCTTCTCAAACTATAGGCAATACAGCCTACGGAACACCGAGGGTTCCAAACCTACTTCCTTGAGGAGGCGGAGACTGGCAACGCCTGGGCCTAAGGCCAACAGGGCAGGACTTCAGCCCCTCGTCGAAGGGCCGGTCATACCCCCAAGGCAGAAGCGGAACTCAACGCTCTCACGGATCTAGCTCAAGTCAGTGACTGGGCAGGCACCAAAGGAGAGGCCCATGACAGGATGATGCTCTCGCTGGGGGACCCTACGAAGCTGCGCGACATCGCCTTCGTGGCCCGTCCGGCTTGGGACAGAGCAGTGACCGCGCTCCGTGTCCCAGATGGGAGCTCGTCTGGTAGTGGGCCTCCAACTCTGAGGGAGCTGACGCCAGTCAAGAACGCAAGACTGGAAGTGTTCCGCCGGGTCGTGCTACTGAGGTTGGGCATCAGGCCAGACATGCCGGGAGATGCGTCCATCCCAACAGCCCGGGTCGGAGCTCCACCGTTGCCCCCGGCAGGTGGCGGTCTAACTGCTGGTGGCGCAAGCCCAACACCAGCGTCGCCCACGAGGAAGCTGAAGCTCTCGGCGGTCATCGACCCGACGTTGGATGCCGAAGTACAACAAGTGTCCCCGGCAGAGATCACGGAGATGTACACCCGGTACAAGAACAGGTTCGGGGACCATCCATCGCCAGATGTGGAGCCAACACCGGACCAGATCAGCGCTTTGCGCCAGTTGATCCAAGCCGGGGCGGCACGCTATGCCGACTTCTCAGTCTGCGGACCCCACGCCCTCAGGACGTTGAGAAAGTCCGTCTTCACGAGCTACATCCTCAACTCAGCCACAGGTGAATGGTCAAAGAAGGAGATGCCAGGGCCGGCCAACATCACGTCCTGGGAGAAGTCCTTCAAAACGTTCAAAGTGGCCATGCTGCTCCTAGAGGCTGCCGAAAGTGAACGACTGGAAGCATACCTCGAGTTCGTGAAGGACCTCAACCAGCAGTTCGGCGACGCAGCGTGGGGCACGCTGTATAGGGCCGAGGCGCGGATGCGGAGTGAGTTCTTCGATCGGATTCGCCGCAACCTGCACGAGCAGCCAAAGCACGGCTTCACGGGGGCGAGCCCTTGGTCAGCGGCTTTCGCCCAAGCCATCAGAGAGGCGGAGTATTGGGCGAGAGAATTCACGACCCCAGCCACTCTCTTGTTGGCGAAACACCGGCAGCTCCTCGACAGAGACTCGTCTCCACTGAGGGAGACGGTCCGGGCCCGTCCAAACCAGGGAAGAGGAAGGCACCCGGGAAGAGAAAGTCAAGCGCCAAGAAGTACCGGGGCGAAGACCTGAGCGTCAAAGAGAACGGCCTCTTCACCAAGAACAGGAAGGGCTTCGACGTCTGCATCAGGTTCAACAAAGGTGCCTGCGGAAACGGCAAGCCGCAGTCGAAGTGCCCCGCATCCAGGTCTCACCAATGCAACAAGTGCCTAGGACCCCACACAGCCCAGGAGTGCAAGGGAAAACAGAACTGACTCGACAAGACTAGTCAAGCTGGCATTCCGTCCCAGCGCTCCAAGGCAAGTAAAGGGGGGTCCAAAGGCACGGCGAAACCCGACAGGGCCAAAGGCAAGAAGAGGGCCGCAAGCCAAGACCCAGGCAAGTCCGGTGGCAAGAACAAAGCACCACGCCTGGGCCGGCCCAAATCCCCGGACGGTCCACCACCGGGGAAGGGAGTCAACAAGAAGCAGACCCGGAGCTCAGCCACAACCGGATCAGGGCAGAGACGACAGCAGCTCCTACGAGTCGGTGATTGTCGACACCAGCCCATCAGATCACCAGGACCAGGGGAGCGAAAAGCCGAAAGGGGGCAGCGCGTCTCAGGCTCCAAGCGAGCCGGCCCGGAAGACGCCCCGCAGTCCAGACAATACCACTCAGCCCAGGTCACCGGTGTACTGCCCCTACAAGTACGGGTCGACTAACATCGTGCCCGAACTGTGGCAGGATCAGCCAAGGGCCTTGTTGCTCTTCAGTGGACGCCCTAGGGACGGGGACCTGGCGTCTCACCTCCACGAACTATAGGCTGGATTGTGGTGGTAGTGGACATTGTTGGACCTCACCCAGCGGACGTCCTGAAGGATGGGGTCGCCAAAGCAATTCGGAAGGACATCATCGACAAGACCTTGGACGTGGTCGGAGCAGCAACTCCCTGCGAGACCTTCTCACCACTCAGGGAGAACCCACCGGGCCCCAGGCCGTTGAGGTCGCTAGAACAACCCATGGGGTTGAATGAAGGGCTGCTGTCACAGGAAGAGGCCCAGCAGCTTCGTCAGGCCAACGAGATGGTCACCCTCACGGTGGATGCGCTGGAGCTCCAACGCCAGGCGGGAGGAGCATTCTGGCTGGAGAACCCGGACCACAGGACCAAATTGGACCTGTGGAAAGTCAACCAGGTGAAGCGCCTGATCAACTCGGGTGGCACCTTGGTCGCTAAGTTCGACCAGTGCAGATTTGGAGCTGAAGTTCCAAAGCCCACGATCTTCGCCACCTACAAGCTGAGCCTCCTCGACGTGCATGGCAAGCGGTGCGACCATCCCCAAAGGATTTGGACCTCGCCATCAGGCGGCAAACACCGGGCGGCTCACGAGTCACTGGTGGGCCGTTGGCGGGAGACCAGCCGGGGCAGGGAGAGGGCCTCTAAACAGTTGGCCGAGTATCCACCAGCCTTGAACCGAAGGCTCGCACAAGCCATGTGGGAGGTGAACACTGAGAGAGCCAACGCGAGCTGCGGGCAGAAGAGAAGGTGCCATCGTACAAAGAGGTGGGTTGCATCGTCTCGCAACTTTTGGACACGGCCACCAACAACCTCAACCTTGTACACACTGTCCAATCTCTTCTCAATGGGGGGTCGGTCGAGCGGGTTCCCAAACCATTGGTCACCAAACTCCGAGAACTCATAGTGAACGTACTCACTCCACAAGGGGTGAACCTTCCTCCTAAGTCAGTGAAAGCCAACACGCCTCTCTCGGCAGAACTGCTGGGGGCGTGGGGTTGGGCTACAGACGACGAGGAGTCCTGCACCTTGGCGAACTGGCTACGGATCGGCGCACCCCCAGGGTTCAAGGAGAAAATCGTCAGCCATGATGGCGTTTTCCCCAGAGTGGAAACACGCACGTGGTCCGACGAAGCGGCCAATGCCTTGGCCAGATCCGTTGAAGCGTGGTCCAGCCACCCATCGGCAGACGAGAACACAGCGGACCTTTGATCGAAGTCGCCAAGGACAAAGGCTTCGTGTCCATCTACGACTCGATTGGCCAAGCCAGGAAGGAATTGGGAACAGAACCCGTCCTCAACAAGTTGGGAGTGATTGTGAAAGAGAAACCACTCGCATCATTTGGGACATGAAAGAGAGCGGCATCAACCGGCTCTGCGACCAAGGGGAACGCATCGTCTTGCCCCGCCTGTCAGATGTGGTGGCGAGCGCACTGGAAGTCTTTAGGAATGGCGGGACCCCCGCATTCCTGGCCATAGACATCCGAGACGCGTTCCACAACATTCCGGCTGGGACGGACAAGGCGTACACAGCCGCCATGGTCCCAATGAATGGCAACCACAAGATCGTCGTCTACGACGTGTTGGTATTTGGGTCGGTATCCTCTCCCACCTTGTGGGGCAGATACGCTGCCTGGCTGGGCCGGACCCTGGCCGCAGTGTGCCCCGAGGTGGC